CTTCATCGCTCACTAAACCCAGCTTCCTCTCTGCCGCTTGTTTTCTTCCATTTCTTCTATATTTCCTTGTCCGTAATATAGTATTTTTCATTTACTTTTCTCATCCCTTAACAGAAAGCCTTTGCTATTTGCTGAATCTTTTGCGATGGCTAGAGATTGATTTGGGTTAACCGTACATCTATGGACACTTTTCGTCGTAGTGCTGTTTGCTGGTGTAACACTCCAACAAAAAAGATTTTTGGGTACGCATTGGAGGAAGCAAGTATGACCAACAAACGTAACACATGTGAATGTTTTGGTGCAGGTTAGCAAAAGAGTGGTAAAGAAAAACGTGCTGTAGCAAACTCTCTAAAAAGTGCGAGTGAAAGTAGATGTAGCCACTAAAAATCAGAGACAAAAAAGTTTATGTCAGTGGCTCACATTCAAACCAAAATGGTTGTGCCTTTGACTAATTGAGAAGATCTGCTTTGATTTCTATTGCAGCGAGAGAAGCGATTTTTTTTATCGCAGAGGCCAAATTTGGCAGAAAATTTCTTCGACAAATTGACGGACATTTCGACTCTCGTTTATTCTAAAAGCATTTATGGGAATGTAAGTTGGAAAAGTAAAGAAAAATTTATCTAGTAAAATCCATTTTGAAATATTTTTTGGAATTCACATGATATGGATGCGAAAGAAAAAAAAAGTAAGCTCACTTCCGAAACTCTTCACATACCTTTCAGTAGTGTAAATAATCCTCAATCCCCTAGCTGGCGATCGATATGGTGCTGCTTACCTCCCATATAGATTATTTTCATTTTGAATGATTGTCTGCCACTAAACTGCTCGCAGCATGAAGAGGATTCTCTAGGGAACGCTCAAGCGCGCGTCTATAAACTCGAGCCCAAAGTGTCGCCCCCGCATCGCTTGCGCAGTCCATACGCGTCCTTCCGCAGGGATTTCCGCGCGGACAGCAACAGAACCGCTACTCATCGCTATGAGTCGCTGCGCGTGTGACACTTTATTTCTGAACAGCTCTCATCGATCTCTCAGCTGCCAACACTGCTTGTGTTCATCTGCCGCGACTGCGCTCGATCGCAGCTCATCAGAAATCGCGGTCGCCATCGCGGTCGCGGAGCTTGGCGACTTTTGTGCTGCGTGTCGTCGTGCATGTGTGCGAAATTGCGTTATTCTAGCACGTCAGCTCCCCCGTCCAGTCACCTCCACACCCCGCAGCCGCAGCGGCCCTCTCGGCTCTGCTCATCAGTCGGGAGTTCTTTGAGCTGCTCGGCGAGCGCCTCTGTTCTTCTGCGACTTCGCCCTCCCACTCACCGCTTCGTCCCTGGATTAACGAATAAATCGAATCTCGCTCAGCTTTTTGTATTTTCAACTTCGGAATGATGATTGCTGAGCTATACGCTCGAGTGTTTCAAAGTTGCTTCTTACAAGGGAAGGATACTGGGTGACCGTGGCCTTTTAGAATGAAACGTACACCATTAGATGCATCTTGAAGCGCTGATTCCAAATCTGTTTTCATTATCTGCTGTGCGCTCTTCCGAAAGAAGTTATGAACATTTCTTGTCACCAAAATTTGCACTGTTTTTGATGCGGAATTTACCAATATCGTTAGAAAGTTCGCTCACGCACTCCAAAAGAGCATACAGATAAAGTAGAGCTTCAGGTTAAGTTCAGGAAAACTGTCACCAATACATCAGAGTCTAAAAAGCTTGAATACTGACGACTTTGATTGCCTAAATCTCGCAAAACCAATATGGAAAAAGTCCATAACTTCGTTCAGGGAGTCGCACAGCAGATAATGAACATAGATTTAGAATCAGCGTTCCAAAACGCACCTGCTGGTGTACATCCCATTGCAAAAGGCCACGGTCACCAAGTATCCTTCCCTTGTTAGAATTTGCCAGAATAATCTATTAACTCGATTTCTGAAATCTACTCCCCGGCAAGAAGCTTTTCGACATTGGTTTTCGATGGAGTTCTTGCTTGTTAATGTATGCACGCGCTTATGGACACGTTTGCAAGTAAGAACCAAGAGCTAACTGTAAGGTGGCAGACTCCGCCCCATTGCTCAAATATAATGCATACTAGAAGCAAGTGGAACGTTTACTCTCCGTGGAATCGAGTGCGAAATGTGTGAAACTTTCTTGCTAATCTTGCTTGGCTCATTGAGTTTTTCTTCTCTGATCTTCTGAAGGAATAAGGAATAACGGAGAAAAATGATACAATCATGTTTATACTCATAGTCAGCAGCTTCAATGTCTTTAATCAAAACTGTGGGATCCTCACCTTGATTGTCACAGCCCTATTTGATCCAGCTAGTGTTATAAAACTCTCTTTTGGCTTTTTTCTAATTTTCCTCTCTGCGTATTTTTTTTTTACATTTTGCTTTAATTATATTAGTATCCATGCTCTATCATATATTAGTTCTTTGACTAATTTATGTCTATCGGTATCATACTTCAAATTCTTCCCTTACCTTCTTTCCATCACAAATTCATGATTTAGGCAGAAATATTCCTATCAACCTCCTCTAATCACATTTCTTGCTAACCTACCAACTATTGTCTGTTTCTTACAACCATCTTTCGTTAATTTCTTTTATTCTGACGAATATTCTCTTCTTGATGCGTGACAGCCTTGTCATATGTTTCCTCATTGGTAGTGTTCGAATCCAAACTTCAGAATAGCTTTGTTCCAAGTAATTTTTGGCTGTTTGTTGGATATAAGCTGGTAAATAACGAGGGCACCTCATTGCGAGAATACTTTTTAAACGAGCTATGATCTCTAGAAAGCCTGTTGAATACTCAATTGTTTGAGAGGGAGAGAGTGGAGAATGACTTCTTTTGCTTTGCTTGTTAGTTGTGGGATAGAAAGTGGATCGATTCTGGCACGCAACAAATGAATCCTTCATCAGCTGCGTAGTGCTGAGACTTTGATGAGCTTCTAATTGCGTCTATGCAGCTGGTTTGATAGTAATTTTGTTTGTTTAAATCATTTTTATACAAAAAGATAGTGCAGAGACTAGGACTGTCCCAAGAATTCTGGTTCAGAACATAGAGAACTCAATGCGGGCACCTCTTTGTTTTTTTTTTCGAAGACGTATCGTTTCCTCACAGAAAATGAATTGTTAGAATTTTTCTCCTGAAACTTGCGATTTGGCAAACAACGGACTGCGATAAACCTTCTGTTGCGAATATTTATTTTGAAAAAAACCATGCTAACCAATGCTATAATATTTTCTTATAAAATTTGGTATGGCGAGAACATCACTGAAAACCACAGGCAAAAAATCAGAAATTCGAAAATTTTGAAAAGGCGCTTTTTCGTGCTTTGTATATCTATCGCTAGTCGTGGCAATATTATAATTTTTAAGTTTTTTTTAGACTTCTTGTGATCCTCCCCTCTTGCCCTTTTCTCCCCCACCTCTCTACCTAACCCATCTCATTCTCACTCCAATTTTCCGTTTCAATTTCGCATTCGAGATTGGACAACTGTTATAAACATGGAAATCGCAGCAGCGAGAATGAAGCATGACGAGTGGGGCGAACAACTGACGCGCGCTCAATCGCGTTGGCGACCGAGCTTCTTCCGCCGCCGCCGCCGTCGTCGTCGGATTGCTTAAGTTGTGCTGCTTGAGCAACGAAAAACGCATCTTTAAAACACTGATTTTTCGTCGGGTTCAAATCGAACCGCATGTCTACCACTGTACAAATCTCAAATTTGAAATTTCCTCCGTTGTAATTTTTTTATTGTCTTCTTGGACTGAGTTTTTCTATTGACTTTTTAGGAAAGTTTCGATTTCGAATAAGGACTCATTATTGTTATCCACAAAACCATAGGAGAAAATATACGAAAGGAAAATTTTTGCTTAGGTTATAGAAGAGAATCTCACTTCAGAGTACTTTTTTCTTACATCTTTTCTGTGTCATTTTATCCGACATATAACTAGTTTTGGAGGTTACCGTGCAATTACCGTACTACCACTGTAACTACGGTATCACTGCTATAAGATGTTTTCGCCGTCTACAAGTGACTTACGCCTAAGGAGCATGAAATTCAACGAGCAGCAATTTAGACCATCTTTTTTGCATTCCCACTGAGTTTTCCCATGTGTTTTCTGATTTTTGTTCTAATCATCTGTTTACTCTTAGAAAGTTAATGCGTTCATGGGACTCTTTTGAACACTTGATTTTCTTTTTTTTTGCGACCGTCGACCTAAAAAAATCTCTGCTTCGGATTAATTGGAGTAGAATGAAGCCAATTTCTTTAACTTCATCTAATAGCAAAATTTCAATACTTATTGAGTTATGTTTCTCAGTGCTGCCTAGTTATCGATTTTTCCTTTTTAGTGGTTTGAACGGAATTGCACTCTTAGCTTTGCTATAGATTCATCTTTGTTTAGATATATGCCCTTGTCTGTGTAATAGTGCTTTGCCGCAAGTAAGACATTTCAAAACTCCAAAATATCGAAAATATATTTATTATAAGTATGTTTAGAAATTGTTATTTTTTCGTTTTTGAGCACAAATCTGTATGTACCTCGACTGCGATGTACCACCCTGGTGACTCGTGACTGCCTGCTGAGCACGATTCTAAATGACTCACCGCTTTTTTTGAGTGTTTTGTGAAATTGCGGCGTATATTTCAGAAAGTGATTCGCATTAGCGCGAGTGAAACAAAGGCGCCAACAAGCGCGACGCGACGCACTTCTCACCTGTTGGCGGTCCGAAAAGAGCCGAATCGCGGCGCGATGCAGAGCGAATCGCGCGAATAAACAGCGCCGATCCTCCCACTCGGCGTCCCTCTTTTTCGAGAGCTCTTCCATCACAGTCCCAATCGCACACACACTCACTCCACACACACTCGCACACACTCACACTGCTCACCCATCATCTTGCCGTCGTTGTAATCTGCTCTGCTCCTGTGCTGTGTGTCTATTGATCTATTGGCCTGAGGATTTGCCTCGCCCAGCACTCGCGCCGCGATTTTTATCGCTGTCGCTCGCGATTACTCAGCCATCGGCTACAGTAGCCCGGTCTGTTGCAGGTAATCCACCGACACTTCCACCTCTGCGACCTACACATCGACTCGTGTTGAACGTCTTTTCGGGGAGAGACCTTCACCGCGCACGCACATCGATCTCTTTCGATCCGTTTGACTACCGCAGCCAGTTTCCGCATATCGATCGTATCGATCGGTGTCGAGCTTCAAATGGGAGATGAACGGCGGTCGGTTTGATTTCGATGATGGGGGCACGTACGTGGGAGGCTGGGAGGAGGGAAAGGTAGGTTCGGGCGCGTGTCGAGCCCCATGAACCAACTTGGTCCAGCTCTCAGCCCCTAAGCTTTCCAGGCTCATGGCCATGGCGTGTGTTCGGGCCCTCAAGGCAAGGGCGAGTACGCCGGCGCTTGGCACTACGGCTTCGAAGTAAGATTTTTGCTTTACGAGCCTTTTCGGGTTAGAAATGGACTACTTGTTGAAGCTGTGCGGAACAGCACTCACAAATTGCATTCTGCTTGTTTTTCCCCCTAAGAAAGCTTTAATTTTGCCATCAGTAAGAACTACTGAAAAAAATTCGTACCGTTAAAAAATTGGAGAGAAAGCATGAGAAACTACAGCTTATGCCTTTTCGAGAGATGGAAATTGAAAGAGTAAGTTTACTGAAAGTGTCTCCTTCGGCTTTAGAAAGTTACTTGACCTGAAATTCTTATCTCATGGCTCCTGAACAGTTAGGAAGGTGGTAACATTGTCAGTGCCGTGTATGAGCAATGTCTCTACAAAGATTTACTAAGTAAACCAATCAGCAATCGCTGTCATTACTGCGCCATCATTGTAATTTTCAAGCAATCCTTACCCTAGTAGGGCCCAAACTTGCCACTAAAACGCTCTACCACGAACTGAAAACCTTGTCGCTAAGCTAATTGTACAATTTCACTTATCGGAGCTTTCATTTTTCTAAATTCTTACCAGGATCTATGCTTCATGTAGCTACAACTTTATAAAAGAGAATTTGCTCAAGCCATCCAAAAAGACTTACGCTCACTTACAGTATCTCTGAGTCAGATTGTCTTGAACCTCTACACAATATTTTTGCTTTGAACCTTTTCATGTCGAGCTAATGTCAATGCCACCGATGTGCTGAAAATCTGTAGTTTCCACAGTAAACTTACAATATAAGGTGCGATAGGGGGGGGTTGTTCTCTATCAGTTCATGCCCAATCCAGCTAATCAACACGGTGCTGGGATCGGTTAAATTCTTGAGACAAGCAAATTCGGTAAACCAGTTTGTAGCTTTTTTGGATACGCACATCCATTTTGGGATTTTGGGACTCGCGGTTTATTTTCTACAGTCCCAGGAGTTAGGCAACTTGCCTCACAGTGCTAGCTGCTCGGTCCATAAAGATCACTTATGTTTTCAGGTGTCTGGTGCCTATTATTGGCCCTCTGGGAATACATATCATGGCCAGTGGCAAAATGGGAAGCGGCATGGCTTGGGTGTGGAACAGAGAGGGCGATGGACGTACAAGTAAGCATCGTCGTCATTCGGGTTCAGAAATACTTAAATGTAGTTTGTTTACTTCTCATACTGTAGGGGAGAGTGGACTCAAGGACAAAAGGGACGATACGGTGTGCGAAATTCGGCGACCTCCCAAGCTCGATACCAAGGCACATGGTCGGGTGGATATCACGACGGCTACGGCACGGAGATCTACGTGGATGGCGGTGAACAAGAGATTTTTAAGGTTTTCACCTGGATAGCCGAACGTTATTTTCTTCCAGGCAACTACCAAGGCCAATGGTTACGGGGCCTTCGCCATGGCTATGGAACCCGAAAAAGTGCGACATACGGTCAGGCGGCGAAACTTCGGCCGAAGTCGCAAACGCATGCCTCGTTGACGAGTCTGCGAAGCGGACGAGGTGACGATGATAACGACGATGAGGATCAAAGTGAGTGAAACTATTTTTTTTACCGGTTTTATATATTTTTTTCTTTTTTTTTTGAGGAAGCTATCGATCTTTTTTCTTGTCTCTTTGCGGGAAATTATAAGTTTTCAATGGTAATTTGTCCATTTTCACAATTTGGTGCATCTTCTACAAAAAGCTAATTGAGTAATTTGAAGCAAAAAGGTCCCAAAAATTACGTCGGTTCTCTAAAGTTGCGTTCAAATGATCAAGTGCTAATATTTATTGATTTTGATTTTTAGAAAGGAATTATGTTTCCCTTATTTCGATATAATATCTCTTACGTCCGTAACTGTTACTAAGCAGAACAAGGGACACTATATTTTACCATTATTTGAGCAAATAATTCAAACGATCTGTTTTTTGTCATGCACAAAGATCGAAACTTACTTTACAGTTCTTTTTCTTGTAAATTCTGGGATACATCTGAAATAGCAAGGCCATGGATCGACGGGTTGGTGTTAATCTCGATTCGGAAGATGATGTTTCATACATACCCATAAATAATAAAAAATCGCCATGCTCATTATCTTCTTGAATTTTCTTGATCATACAAAAGTTGATCGGACTGCTAAAATTCTTCCTCACATTCCAAAAAATCATTTTTGCAGAAGAAAATCCAAGTGGACGAAGTGGATTCGTTCTGAAGGCGAACAGTAGTGCTCCAGCGAGACGAAGGAGGTGTGTGCTCATTCTATGAATTGAATTATAATTTTTTCCTTGAAATCCATTGTAGAAGATTTCGATTTTCTCGGACCGAACCCTCTGTAAGACATTGGAATGTTTGCCGGTTAGAAGTTTTTGAGAGGGAGATTCGCTTTTGTATTCCAATTTTTGGTTGCTTTGCTTTTTTTTTATCTTGTGGGAGACCCTGGGAAATAAGCACACCTCCCAAAGCTTCACTGCCGTAATAATATCTCATCCATTGATAAACTGATTATTGCCTACACATCTACCCTTTTCTTCCCCATACACGGCTGTAAACATAACTCGAGTCACTTAACACGTGCAATTGCACACAACACGCATAAGTGCGTAAAATCCGGGATTCTGTTGACCATGGGAGTGTAAAGCTGCCTTCTGAGTGCTTTTGCGCAGTTTTATGAGATGGGTCCGAAAGTTCGTGTCGTTTTTCAAACCTATTCTCAAATCATTCAGCATGATAGACAAGGACTCTAAGCATTGTTCTACGCAGAATTTCTTCCTTTTTTCAGCAGTTGTCTTGTTGTTCGAATTCCTTCAATGTTCTCTCGAAGAATCGCCACAGTCAACCCATGTATTTTACGTACCCTAAGTTCAGCTATTTTTTGAAATTTTCGTTTTGGACTTTTTAAAAGGCTTTGATAACAGTTGGATAGAGTGAACAAATTGCTACAAAACCCAATTTTCTCGCCATCTATAGCTGGCTTTTCAAAATTTTTGAAAACAACTTTTCCAAAATCTTTACATTTGCGAAGTCGTAAAGTATACAATCACTTCAAACACTATGCAATTTTCGTAAATTGGAACTTCCAAATTACGACTATGATTAAACACTAATTTCAACAAACAAAGGGTTTCTACCGCCTCAATACTGATTTTTGAAATTTTCAGGTGCAGCCTAAGACGGATCGAAAATTTTTTTCAAAAAGTAGAGAACAAACTGCATCGAATGACATCCTAGCTGTTCGCCTTCTGATGTTTTACGACGTTTGGGATAAACAAATATCGAATTTGGTAGCATCAAAATGATAATTTTAAAAGACTTGAAAAGCTAACTATCGATGCCATAAAATCGTATTATATTGCATTTGGTCTACTCTATCTACTCTTATGAAGCACTTCCAGAAGTCCAGAACGAAAATCTGAAAAAAAGCAAAGTTAGGGTAGGTAAAAAGGGTGGTTTGAAAATTGTGACGATTTTCCAAGCGAGCATCAAAGGAATCCGAACAAAAACATGACCTCTGGAGAATGGACAAAATGCATGGAACACTTCTTACAATTAGAGTGTTCCTCTATCTTTGATCTGAATGATTTGAAGATAGGTCAAAAAACGGCACGAACTTTCGGAATACACCTAATAGATTTTATTCCTTCCAAAAAATAGGAGACAATTAATAAGCTCCACAGAATATTAACAAAATGTTCAGGGAGAATCAGGATTTGAAGCGGATTAGTGTGTGTTGCGTGCAGTTGCACATTAGTATACGGGCGACTTGACTACAAACTACAAGCTTTTTCTTTTACAGATCTTTATCCGAACGTTCATTGGCTGTGAAGCGAACTTTGTTGTCGGGACTGCGGATAAAGAAACAACATTCAACCGGGGACATTCATCAACGAGTCACAAGTATGACCGGTACGATCTTACAGAAGAGGTTGAACACCGCTAAACGATAACGCTCGCGTGTGTGTGCTGTGCTTTTCGCCTTTGCTTTGAGACTTTCGAAAAAACGAAATGCGGTGACACCTCTACCCCTGAGTGTGTGAAGTGCGGCTTGGATGCTTTGTCTTTGGTTTTGCTTAATTGCGCCTTTCTCAACCTTTTCTGCTAGCTTTTTGCTGCTTGAATCGGTCGATGATGCAGAATTCTCTTTGAAGGGAGCCTTCGTTCAAGCGGCAGCACGATGAGTTGCACATCCGAAGACTCGCTTCATCATCAACACAAATCCTTTGCGAGTACTGAGGTAAGAGGTTAAGTCATTTTGTCCCCTTATTCCCCTTTCCATTCTCTTTTCTTCTCTAATAAAGTATTGGGTTGAGTCAAAAGTAATGAGAACTTTTCGCGCATCCTTTAGAACTTTTAGCAAATTGTGTAAAGTAGTGATAGAAAAGTACCCTAAACTGTATTGAACGTAGCTTTTCTTTCTCTTTTCAACAGCCAGGCCAACTGCCCAGTTGACTTCTTATTTGTCGAAAAAAATTTCCAAATTTTGAACGTGTCACTTTTGCTCCGAGTGAGTTTAGCTAATCCTCAAAACTTTTAGTCTGAGGGTCTCAAACAAATTCGAAAAAAGAGAGCAAGTCCTGCTTAAGGCAAACCATCTCTAAGGTCTTTTGAAACTAGTATTTTGAGGCTTTGTAAAACCATTTTTCCAAAGCCCTAAAATTTCAAAAATTCGCTCAAAACAAAATGCAACAAACTCTTCAAATCTTTCGAAATTGGGAGCTTTATAAACAGTTTATTATCAAACTTTGCTTTTGCAAAGTATTCAAGTGCTTACCGTTTCAAATTACCATGATCTATAATTTTTTGCCACGTCTGAAAAAACCGTAGAATTTGAACGGCAAACGCTTTAAGTTCAAATTTTCTGCACATATTTCATCAACTACGAAGTGATTTGGTTAAAAATTATGACTGCTGGAAAGAGGAAGAAAAGCCGTATCGGATACCGTTTGGAGCATATGCCTGTTTACATTCTACCTAATTTGAGAATAGGTTTAAGAAGATATACGAAGTTCTCATTACTTATGACTCACCCTAGTAAGTGTCTCAAGCGTTATTCGTAAATAAAACACATAATATTCTGCCAAATTTCCACGCTTTTGTTCTGCTCCTCCTACTTCTCCCTCCCTCGCTATTTCTTCTTTCTCTAAATTCTCATCCTGAAGCATAGAGCCGAGGGTCCGCGCTGGATTTGCGCTCAATTTGCCTTCTTCTCTTCTTTATTCACTGCAACGAAGCGGCTCGAATTTCCAACGGAAATGATACGCAGCTGAGAGCGGGACCATGCTTAGCTATCTCTTTTCTTTTTGAAAAAAAGAAAGTGCGCGCCACTTGTGGTCTTAGATTTTGGGTGGAAGTTTATTAGAACTCTTTGTCTTTTTTTAGAAAGCAGGATTTTATCTAGTTTCAAATCAGGTTTCAAACTGCTCAAAGTAAGTCTCCATATCGAAAACATTGATTTGAAAGCGGGTTTGCAACTGGTAGTTTACAGCATTGAATTTTAATTGTTTGACAGTCTTTAGACAAACTAAAGACTGAGGAGTTCCAGGGAAGACCTAGAACTCATTTTAAACTCCGTCTAAGGGAAGGAACGAAACGGAGTAAAATAATTTAGTGTTGTAGAAAAATGTTCTAAATCTCTTTAATTTTAGCTAGGACTACACTATAGAAGTATTATCATTTCAATTTTATTACTAGTTTATTTCTACTAGGAGATCATTGCTCACTCATGATTACTCATACAAATGCTGTACCTGGGAGTGTCAAAAAGCTGAGAAAAGTCTCAACCCCCCCTCCCCCTTCCCAAAAAAAAAACGACGACCTTGTCTTGTTCTATACTAATCTTACGAATCACAAAATCTGTTTGCACTCAAATTTTAACTGGATCTTGTCATCTTTGTCATGCTATTTTGTTTACCTCTTCAGGGTGCTCTATGTATAGTTCATTTATAAAGCCGTGACGACGGATTTGACTGCGGTCTTTGCGCCCAAAGGAGCATAAAACGCTCATATAAAAAGGCATCACCTCAACACTTAGCTCAGTCACATCCAGTATGTAAATACTATCATACTTAAGCAGAAAACCCATTCAAATAGAGGTGAATTCTAAGAAAAATGCGGTTGTCGGAAGGTGCGTGCGTATCACGCGCGGCCGCGCTATAGTCACGATTTTTCAAATGCCCAATAACTTAAACGCCAACTTTTCTCCTCTTGCCCGATCTTTTTTTCGTTTATTTTTTTAGTCGAGTTCGCTTCTACATTATTGAGAAGGATCTAACAATGTGTGTACAAGAGGTTTTCTTTTTTTTCCATAAACGTGAAATGGCCAAAGCAAAGCTTATTGCGTTGCTGCAATAAAGGCTTCAAAAAAGCTAAGTGGAAATTATAAAGTCCGTATGGGCCCCGCGAAAACTATTTAGTTATTTCACAGAATCTTAGCTAAAATTTGCTGCTTATGGGCTGAAGGAGTATACGATTGGACAATGCTGCTGAAAAAATCGATAAATCGACCGCTGACCTAGCATTACGATAGTTCACTGTAATAAAGTTGTCAAGGAAGATGTTGTAAAGTTTAGGAGATACGGAGACTTTTTTGTGCAAGAGCTTCAGACTCGTGCCGGGCTCTGCCCTTCTGCTATGATCCAATATCTAAAAAAATTTGCGTTCCGTCAAGCTCGAGTAGCATCGATTGATTTGCAAGGTGTCTTATCCCGTTGATTTTTCCACTCTTCAAATGCGCTCGAGAAGATTTTTTTTGATTTTGTTTCACGAAATCTTCTCCTTCTATGTGATTTTGTTAACCCTAATCATGTTTTTTTTGCCGTATTGATCTGTGATGAGTCGAGCATGGGTCTCGAAGAATTTGCGAAGTAGAGCGGTGCAGCTGCGAGGCGCTGTAAACCAACAGAGTTACGTGTTGTACGGCTCTCGAACAGGAGCACGGCCTTTTTGAGGTGCTTTTTCGAGTTCGGGCCAGCTCTCAAGCACCGGCCGCAAGTGCACACTCTGCTCCACGGACTTCTCTCCACCGTTGGTTACAGAGCGCATCCGTGGATGTGCAGAGGTGGAGAACAGCAGCAGCTCGTCGAGCGGCACATCCGCACGGATCGAGCCACCGCCGAGCGGCGCGTTTGCATTACACAGCGCGGACGTAACGGACTGCTCGAGAGCCCTCCAGTCCCCAATGTTTGCGTTGGATTTGGCGGAAGCCGGGGGATATTGGGTGCACGCGCTCGTTTTCCCGGTTCAGCTCGACCGTCAGTAACTCTCGCGCATCACACCTGTATTCCAATCCAAATCCTGCCAAAGGCCCCCCGCTAAGAAGTTGTTTCCTGAGCGCCCCTTGTTGACTGCCATCCTCCCCCATGCCCCACCTTCGCACGCATAAACAACAACAATAAAACACAACACACACGCATTTCTCGGATGTTTGCGATGCTGTGATGAATGCGGCTTCAATGCATGTAGTTGACGAAAAAATAGTGGGCAGGAGAGAATGTGGGGGCAGGGGAAAACGAAGAGAGGGGGAAGATGTCTCCGAGGAAAGGATACTTGGTCGAAGTAGAGTTTCCACATAGAACGCAGGTTCCAAATCTGCTTCCGGTATCGGCAAAGCGCTTTTAGAAGAGTTCTGAGATTTTTTTTTGAACAAGGGTTTGGCCAAGGTGGAAAACAAGTGCTGAGGTCTTACCGGCGCTTGAAAGGAGTGATGAACTAACATAAGTTTATTAGACCGAAGGTATTGACTGTATAAAGCGTCCTGGCAGTAATCATGGCCCCATTTGAGCTCACAGACTACAGTTCCGAATGATCTTATTGTAGCAGCGCGTTGAGATTTTTGCTTTGAAAAATTCCCACAACTTCCCTCCCAGAAGCGCTTTGCAGATTTCGCAAACAAATTTGGAATCAGCGTTTCTTGCCCTATGAGACAGTGTACCTTTCATGTGAAAATGCCACTTCGATTATCCTTCCTTGTGAGAGAGAACGAGCAAGAACACCTTTGGTAAGTGTTTTCGCTTATTCTGTGGCGTTGGGTGGGAGAGAAGAGGGGCGTAGCAACAAAATCCTGGTTTTAAGGAAGAAAATATGCTTCACATTTGAGCACAACGTTGTTACAGCAGGAAAATTTTCAAGTCATTGTAGGCCATCGTTTTTGCCTGGAACCCTTTGTAGTACTGAAGCAAACTTTTTCAAAAGGCCCAAATGCAACCCTGGTGCTGTTGATACGCGGAACAGACCATAAACATTTACACAAACTTGTCATCTCAATGTATCGGTATGTTTGCTAGAATCTTTGGAAACATGATCCATTGAAAACATACTTGAGAGAATTAATTTACAGTTGCTTTTCTCATATGTAAAACAAAACTTTTCGTGCTGGGGAATCGAGTTCAATTGAATCATTTGTATTCTCGAATACCTAGTTTTCTAGCTCCCTTGTGCGATTTTATTTTCTTGCCTTCAACTCTTGAAATCTTTATATCACAGTTACTGTATGTCTTGATCTTCTCTCAAACACTTCTGAAAGAAGAAAGTATCAATTTGGTCTTTTGAGCCACGATATTTGTTCATTTGTCTTTTGAGATAACGAAACGTTTGTTAGAGGTTTGGTTATTACTTATTTGATGAAATGCGATCACTTTTGCCAAGTACATGCTGTCCTAAAATTTTGATTGGTCTGAATACATAATAAATCGTTTGAAGGAGATTGAATGGCAACTATAGTTCCTATTCTAGTGGCGTGAATTTCCTAGAGCAGTTTTGAGGATTAAAAAATTGGGTACGAGTGACACTTTAGGTCTAGAAATGGATATCTTTTAATTTGTAGAATTATGATCGTTTTATCCAAAAAAACGTGTGGGAACAGGGCTCGGCATGAGGTGGCTAGTTGAAAATGCAAAAAACGAAGTCCCTTTGACCCTAGACCATAATCCCTAGAGGATCTCTAAAAATGAAACATCGACCAAAAAAAACATCGCAAATTTTGTGTCTTTTCGGCCACAAAAACGAAACCTCCTTTGCTTTTTGTCCCCAAAACGATATCCAGTTTGCTTATAAACATCTGTGCCGAGCCCTGTGTGGGAAACGTCGCACAGTATGGCACAGTATGGAACCGTTTCACCTGAATTTTTGTCACATGTTCCCTTTTTAACTGCGCATCGCAGTGAACTTTTAAATTGATAGCGTTCGAAGTAAAGTAAAGTCGCCAAAATTTCCTAAGAAGGCATTGGCATTGTAAAATTGTTAACATTGTTTTTTATACGTTGGATTACAGCAATGCTAATCCTTCTTTCCCCCCCCCCCCCCCCCTCCTTCCCCTCGCAATGTGTTTATTTTGCACTCAATCAGCATATTTAGGAGGAAGCGATAGACGAAGCAGTGACCGAGTTCTATAGCGGTGAATGGAAGAATGATGTTCGCAGCGGTTTCGGCGTATGCGAACGAACCGACGGGTTACGGTATCAGGGTGAATGGGCCAATAACGCCAAAAACGGCTACGGTGTGACGACGTTGAAAGATGGAACGTGAGTGTGGATCATTTCATCGGTTGATTTCCGATCTCTCCTTTTTGCGTTTCAAGTCGTGAAGAGGGAAAGTACAAGAACAACGTGCTGGTGGTGTCGAGTCGACGGAAAGGTATGCTGTTCGTACGCAGCAATAAACTCAAGGAGAGGGTGGAGGCAGCTGTCGAGACAGCGACCCGAGCTGCAAGCATAGCCCAGCAGAAGGTCGGTCATGACATTATCTATTGCTTTGCAGAAAAAGTATGAGGCTAGGCAAAGAAACGAAAGTATTACTGGCTATCTCGTAGACACCGACTTTACGTTCATAAATCCATTTTTATCGATATGTGTGATCCATTAGAATCCTGCATTACATAGGATGGCAAATATAGGGATGTCGGCTGGGATCGTTTCGCAGACAAAAAATCGTAAAGGGAATACTGTGGGGTCTAAGGCATCGCCACAGAAACTTTGTCCTCAATATATGCTCGAATTAAATGAAATTCTGTCAAAACACTGAGGTGATGTTTCCGCATTTTGATCCTCTTCGAAAAAAAATTTTTTAGCCTATTGAATGATAACTCTTCAGAGGGAGTTGTAAAATGTTTTGCATATCACAAATTATTTTGTCAGAGGTCCAGTCACCGTTCTTATGCTGGAGCGCAAATCATTTCCAAAATATTATCTTGAAATGGAAGGATAATTGGTGCTACTCATAGAACATAGCTTTTTTACGGTTGTTATTTTGCAGAAATGGCGAGTCAGAAACATAGTTCTAAAAACAGCTTACGATGATCTGGGAAGTTCAAAAGCAGTCATATTCGATTTTGATATTAAAGTTGTCCTAAATTCTTATACCTATCTTTTTAAAAAAGCTTTCAGAATTTTTAGCACCCATCCCATAAAAATGTGTGGTTGAGCTAATTTGGTTAACGTCGAGTTCAGTGATAATCATATGCCGCACAATTTTCTAAGCGATAAGAAGATATCTCAAGATACTAGCTTCCGGCATTGATTTTTATTTTATTTCCTGGCATTTCTATTCGGTATCTGTAAAACTAGCGAGATATTCAATACTTCCGGTATCGAAGCAGCTGACGGATTTTTTTGCACGAAAAATGGTTTACGTAACCTCTGCGCATGAAGGATTGAATGACAGATGAACATAGCTTCTCAATGAAGTAACTGGCTCAAAAATGTCTGCACTGATTGATTGGAAGTATTTTATCTGTAAAACATCAGTGATTAACAAACGGTTGACATGCAATTTCAGTTCGTCGTTCTCATTTTCTTTTTTGAGTGAGTTGTTGTTTTCGCAACTTTTTTTTCACATTTCATGTCGTGGTATCTCTTGATATCATTTTTCAAAGGGAAAAAGGCTGACTGATTATGGATGACACAAGCGTCGTTTGACCAGCAAACAGCCCCGAAGTTTTTTTTACTAAGCTTAATTTTTCCTTTTCAAAAATTTCAGTCATTTACAAGTAAAATCAGGTCTTGCATGATATCACACTCCCTATAAGGTGTTTTCAAAAACCCACTCTTAGGTCCTCTCCTTCCACTCCGCTTCGGTCCGCCATCGTTTTTATGTGTAGGTTAGCACGCAAAATTTTGTTCAGAAGCAAACTTTTAGGCAATTGATTACTTTGTTTGATACACACCGCACTGAAATTAATGTAGTCATTTTTTGTGGAACTTCTTCTCCATTGATCTTTGAAACTGCAGTCAATATGGGCCAGTTGTTAGTATCAGTGCACTCGTCATCATATGGTTTTCTCAAAAATTTCGCGAGTTTTCACGTACTTCAAAAAAGCACCATTTTTTAGTAAGCAAAAATAACGACTGTCGTTGATCATCGATTTTCTGAAACAAGCCTATTCAAACTCATAGAAATTCCATAGGAACTCATGAGTACTTAATACTTGCTTTGTACACATCAAGTAGTCTGCGCTTTTTCATGAATTCTTTTTGTAATCTTCCAACCCTTTGAGCAAATCCGCTTTCTGTGGTCATCATGGTAGAACTTCTCCAATGGAACAGGCATTTCTGTATACAAAGCAACAATTAATCGTAATGTTGGTAAGGTGACAATAGGCACAAAAGATGTGATAAAAATTTCTTCTGCTCTCATCCCACCGTCCAAAAAAACCAGTTGTCTAGTCTGGTTAATGTCTTGTACAAGTGAATTACTAACGCCATCGTTCACCCAAAGGAGGGTATGAGATTTTGTTGTCGTGTAATAGCAAGCGCCAACAAACATCGCCCAAGTTTCACTGTAAAAGATGAAATTAAAAGCGAGAAAACCGCGCAGAAAGTAGAAAGGACCACAATGGCACCGCTTATAAAGTGAATGCTTTCAAAAAACAAGTCTGAAATAGGGAACTTAGGGATTAAATTAAATTAATTAGGGAGACCGAAAGAGCGCACAATTGAAGATCATAATGAAGGGCGGAGACAATCATGAAAGTCCAAGTTTGGACTTTTTGTATTCAGGCCATCCATATAGGCGATGGGCGGGGCCAGCGTGGCCGTTCATACCTTCTGGTGCGGTTTTCTCGATTTGGTATTCATCTTTTGCAGCAAGAATGGGCGTTTGTGCTTAGTTAGGGGTCCGCTATCATATATCTACCTTTAAATGAAAATGTGCACGTGACTTGTTTATACTTGTAAATAATTAATATAATCTTTAAAAAATTTTTAAAATTCAGATTAGCCTTGTAAAAAAATTTTTTTCGGAGCGTGGCTGACGCCACGCCCCCTTCTTCCAGATTTTAGGAGTTGGGGACCCGCAAAAATTTTGAGAAGCACCCCTAAAAAATTTTCGTGGCTTGCGTGGCTGACGCATGCACCTTCATTCGAAAAAAATTTTCGCCCCCCCCAAGTGGAAGTCCTGGGTACGCCACTTAAATAAACATATGGTTTCTGTAACAATGGATGTTCGCGATATATAAAAAAAAGAGATGGGGCAATATCACATTGTGAAAACTAGTTTTAGGAATTTTGCACCAGATCACTCTCCAGATTGTTCTCATATCGTCCACTAGCCCTGAATTTTCAGGCGGACATTGCAATTTCGCGAACATCAACGGCAAAAGAACGTGCCGAACAGGCAATGTTCGTTGCTAAACAGGCCCGTGACGATGCCGATATGGCTAGAATGGAGGCGGAACGTTTCGATCCAAATTTCAAGCCACAAGGTGGGGAAATTTGTCGGTAAAATCGATGCAAGACTTGTCATGAGAACGTCATCAGAAATGTCAGGCCAAGAGCGTCGACGTCATTACGGTGAGAATCCGGGCGGTGATTCGTTTGCCACCGACATCTCCGACCCACATTCCTCCTACTCACGACATTTGTCTCAAACGCATAGCAAGAATCCGTCCTTCGAACAGGTCAGATTATCACAATTCAAATCGGTTATGAATTTAATTATACCAGTTTTTGCAATTAGTAAAAATTTATTTGTTTCAGAATCTGTCTGTCGACATAGCGGATCCATCGTACCTCACCCCCATGGGCCCTCAAGTAGGTCAGATGGGCATGGGTACGACCTCGGCGCAAATGTCTCCGCTCATGGGCAACCATGTCGGCTCACAACAGCCCTCCCAAATGGTCAATCATGTGAAGTAGGTTGCTGTGAAAGTACTGCCAACTCACGATCCCAACGATCTGCTCACTTCAGCTTCAACTTACAACAACCTAGTATGCCGCCGATGCAAACGATGCAAAATATGCAAACTATGCAGTCTGGTCCTTACATTCACATGCAGCAGGAGGATGTAATGCCTGAAAATTACGCAGCGCCTATGCAGTTTGAGGTGAGTCCGGGTCGGGTTTTTTTGCGCAAAACAGAGCAATAAACCCCATCGTAAAGGATGCATCAAACGTCGGTATGCTCCAAGATGTCGCTGAAGTGGCCGAGCCTCCGGAGCCTCCTCAACCGCTGAAGACGATGACGACGACGACGCATGCTTCTACGCTGAATCCATCACTCATGAACAACCCTCAGAGCTCGTCCAGATTCTCGCTTAGGTTTGTCAGCGTCTTTTGGCTTGTACATGCAGCCTTACATTATTCATTTATGAAAAATTTGAAATACCTCGCATCAATATTATTCGATCCCCAAGTAAGATTCTTTCGCCGTTTTGTAACTTTCCCCACGAAATTGAGAGATGATTTGACATGCGCATGAAAGCGAAGGTTGTATGCCCCCTATTCTGTATCATTCTAAAGACTACCAAAAGTGCTGATTTAAGCAAAAACCTGATTGTGATGACCTTTAAGTCGTATTATTGAAGTAAAGTTGGACAATGCAACGGGACGATCTGCAAAAAAGTAATTAGTAATTTGCTGAAAGCGTTGCTATAATCCATTGGCGTAGCTACACTTTTCATTTTTTTTTCAGATACACAGATCATGTCGAAAAATAAAACTTTCGCAAAAAGATAGTCATCGAATATCGAAAGCGTACTCATTTTTAAAAAAGTCCCCAGAGTTCGATGCAGCTTTTCTGCTCTTTTTGAGAAGTTATTTTCTTCCTGCTTCGCCAGGCTTCGAGGATAAAATCACTATAGATTTTGATTTTTACCGCGTCTAAGGCAATACCTGCAAAATGCGAAATACGATATTTCGAAGCAGTAAACGCTCAGCTGCTTTGTAATATTGTTATTCAATCGCATTCGATTTTTTGGAAGTTGCAAGTTCCGAAGACTTGTTAGCGTTAAAAGCAAAATTACCGGAAAGCCGACTGGAGGTGTCCAGATAATTTGTTGTATTTCAGTTTGTTAACTTCATCCAACCGTTATCAAGGCTTTTTCAAAGGGTCAAAATGGAAATTTTGAAAATGGCTAAAGCCAGGTTACGTAAAGACCAGGGGTGAGATCCCGGCGATCATTCGAGCGACCATCAACGTCAAAACAAAAATAACTTTGCTAAAAAGAAGAACATCTTCTGCACCGAACACTGGTCAAAGCTTTTGCTTGTCATCAATGCAAACAATTTGATGATAGGTTGAAAAATGGCAAGAACTTTCAAACCAGCCTAATAATAATCAATGCTCGCAATAACAATCCTAATATGATGATCAGAGCTCGAAAACGAACTTTTCTTTCAAAAAACGTGTCTCCGATCCAAAATATCCAAAAAATTTCCCATTTATCCTACCTATACTTGACACATCGCGTATTCAAAAGTACATTTTTCGGATTTTTTCCGTGGCAAATAAAGAAAGAAATGAATGAAGCAAAATGACAAACTCTGTCTTTAGACGTCCTGAGATCCTCCCATGCATGTGATCATATAGCTCATACATACCAAAGTACGATCATGTTTGGATCTTTCGTAGATGCCCCATTTCTTGAGAAATGCTGATGTTTGGGGTAAAAACGGTAAAAAATTATGAGACACCCTAATATGATGCGATGTCAAAAAACACTCTAAAAAGATAGATGGGACCAGCCTAATCTAGCAAAAATCATTGAGTAATTTCAGTGATGATCACTTCGACCAGTATGTGATGGCGGGCACCAGCGAGCAGCCGCGACTTCGACGAAATCGACCATCGTTAATGAGGCAGAGCGATGTGAACGACGCCAATGCAGTAAGAACTTTTCTTCTTTGACCCCAATTGTAATGCCCCTTCACTTCGTCTTGCTCTTCCAATACATCTCCCTAGAGCATGGAACAATTCGGTAAGCAAATGATAATTTGCAGATGTTGAATCGACGATCAACACTCGCGTCCGCGCGCGACCGTCGAGCAGAACCCGTTCAAGATTCGGGTGAGAATCTGGGAAGTCTGCCAAATCTTGCAGAACTGGAGAATAGCGGGGTTGGCTTTCAATTTCTGTTTATGATGATTACAAGTAACAAAGCAAATTCAGTTGCGTCTTCGCCGTGAGGACGCTGCTCGTCTAGCGTCCCAGCGTCGTCAAGAGAGACTTCGCGATCAAGAGGATCAAGCTCTTCTTAGGGCAAATCCACTTCGATACTTGTTTCACCCTGCCTTCAAGGTCGGTGATCAGCTCCCTCAATTCTGGCATCCACAAATGCATGAGACTGAATTCAGGCGTGGCTGGTCCGTTGGAAGGTGCCGATCTTCCTCGCAGCTGCTAACCTCACATTACTCTTTCTCTTCTACAACCTGCTCACTTACGATAGGAGACGTCGTTAGTCGTTATCAGAGACTGCTGCCATGGTGTCTACAGGTCCTTTGTCCCTTCCCCTCGAATGTGTTTGTTCACTATACAACATTACGTCACAATGACGTCGCCTAGTCCAATTCTCGTCCCCGCGTACGTCTTCTTTCGCAGCGACGTCACCGTCGACGATCGCGGCTCCGCCTCTTTCAGGGAAACCCCAGTCTAAAGCTCCTTATGCACGTCATTCCCTCTCACTTTTGCTCTGCTCCAAATATTCTGTAACTAACTGAGAAGGTGTACACATTCCCACACGCTCTGCCCCGGGAGTACGTGAGAATCAACGCTGCACCTTGTGAGTTCGCCCGGGCGACCGCCGCCTCCCTCGGGCTTCTCTCGACGGGTGCATGTCCTTTCGGTTCATCGTGATTCTGTCGCACACCGTAGCACACTGCGTGCACATCCCGGTTCGTAGAAGCGGCGGCCGGCCCCCGTCCGAACTCGTCCGCTCAGCCGCGGCGCCGCCGCCTTCGTCGCAACGAAACCGTAGTGTCTATCGAAGTCAGCCAACCGGTGACACTCACATTCAGCTCAGTCACAGGGTGTCTGAGTGCTACGAACAGAACCTCGAATCTGTCGGGACATTAGATCCATTCGCTCACTGTCGTTACTCTACCGCATGTTCTATTTTGCAAAATACGTCTGCTGCGATCACCTCATGGTCACATCGGCAGGCAGCGCATCATCCCACACATATTTATTTGTAATGTTGTCTATTGAACCACCTGTAAATTGAGTCAGTTAGTTGGAGTTTCGATGGATTTATTTAGAAGCCTACTGTCGAGGATGTTGTCCTTGCATCTGCCCGCATCGAACGAGTTCGCGCGGTGTCGCGTCCCATTCCGCAAGCGAGAAACCTCTGACACGACACCTCGCGACGCTCTAGCGAAAAATTGTCGTTTGCTAGAGTTTACTGTATGTTTCTGCAACAATTAATATTATGCATCGAGGCCTTATAAGAGAGTATCAATCGTTTATTGCATTGACTTTCCCGGATAAATGTTCTTATGAGTTAATTGTTATTTCTTGTTGTTTTCAGTGGCATCGTATTTGTCTGATGCTACACCAGCTGAAGGAGGGTTGATATGTTTATCTTTTTCTTTTTTCATTGCTGATTGTCGTGGCTTCTTCCCACGTTTCATGAAATAGGTTGTCGGGTAATTTTGTACCTTAGTTTCCAAGCTCATAAAGGTGTAGAGATTAGCAATTATTGGTACATATTATTGTATATCAGAAAAGAATATACATATTATTGTATATCAGAAAAGAATGTTTGCCGTACAAGTTGTTCGGTTGTTTGCTGCCGAAATACGCCATGCACCACTATTAATTATCACTACATGCTTGAGATGCAAGAAACGCTGACAAATATGTTATGCATACAATACCGCTCATAATCGTCAAAAATTCGCCTCACTGCGGCGCCCTCCGGTCCATTCCGCTGGAGTGCAACGAAGTGCGCCGAAATCTGCTTCGCATCGCCATATCTCGCTTCAGAATGGACAAATTCTGAATTCAAGGACACCGTTCTACTCAGTTCGGCGAGTCTAGCTTTTATTTTATAGAAGAACCGCAGTCCGCCGGGCTAAGGTAGGTATAGTTGACTGCACGGAATCGACCGGGCTGATCGCCCGCGAGCTGTCTCTTGCGAGCTAACATTAGCATTCGCGCGCATGAGTCATCATATCGCCCGTACTCGGCAGCCGCGTTGCAGGCACGCTCAGATGCGCTTATCCTACAGCGACCCAGGCAATTGTGCAGTCGACTTTACTCGTACAGTCGAGTAGATTTCCTGCTTAATATAGTGTCCCTGCAGACGCGACAACGCTGGGGCGTCATTAATTGCCTTGCGAGTTCCCGAGCTAGTGTTTTCCCGTGTTTTCTTTGCTTATTTCATGCTTTTCAGTTGATTCGTTGCTGATAAAGAGGAAAAGAGTAACTTAGAGAGTAGTTTCTGTTTTCTGAGAAGTTCTATCATCGCACATTCACAGATATCCACGCGGAAGCATTTCGCGTCAGCTTCTTGTCTACTTTTTTGTCATTTCCTTTTCTTCTGTCACTTCTTCTTTCGAACCTTCGTCTTATGAGGCGCTTCTTTGAACGCTAGTTGGCTTGTTTTGCAGCAACTTCGGCTTTCATTCACAGGAAATAGCATTTTAATCAAGTATTTTATGTGATAAAGACAATAAGTCAATCGTAAGAATCCACTAGCGTTCAAAGAAGTACCTCACAAGAAGAAAGAGACATGAAGTGACAAAAAAAATAGACAAGAAGCTGACGCGAACTGCTTCCACTTGGATATCTGTGAATATGCGATGATAGACCTTCTCAGAATACAGAAACTACTCTCTAACTTACCCTTTTCCTCTTTATCAGCAACGAATCACCTAAAAAGCATAGAATAAGCATAGAAAACGCTGGAAAACACTAGCTCGGGAACTCGTCAGGCAATTATTGACGCCCCAGCGTTGTCGCGTCTGCAGGGACACTATATTAAGCAGGAAATCTACTCGACTGTACAGTATCATCACTGCCGCCTTAAAATCTGCGATATAAGCGCGCTGTCGCGCCGGAAGTGCCGCATTGTGATATCTCAAATAGACTTGAACCAGTCGGATTCTAGCTTGAATATTTAGAATTAGCTCTATTTGGAATCATCTCCTTTTCGAACAATGTAAAAGTGTTTTTCAAAATTTCAAAATCTTGTTTTCAAAGGTTTTTGGGACCTTTGGCGTTATAAACACATGGCCGCGTTGGTATCGCCGCACCGCCATAACTTTCTTCAATGTGAATCTATCAAAATCTGAAGGAATCGGTGTCCCCCGTACTACCTAAAGACGCCTTTTAAGGCCTCAACATCTTGCTTCCAAGCTTTTTTGGCTCCATGCTAGCGACGATTAATGCAATGTCGAGCTGGATGTGCAGCATTACTGAAACTCGGGTCAAAGTCCTTCAACTAGAATTTTGATTGAATATGTGAGCAGCGTCCTTTTATCCACTTTTGAGTTCGCCCAAACTTTGCAGAATCTTCTATCTTGTACTTTTTACGCAATCGGGCGATGTAGGCGGCGAAGTAAACGCCATTTCGCGTCGGAGAAGCCAGATAGTGTAACTTTCTTTTAGGCTAGGCTGTAGTTTTCACCATGGATTTTTGCTCAGATGATTGCTCAGTTTTGGCAACAACATTCACATTCCGGTACTTTGCTCTGATTTGTTTCAAAATTTGCTACGTGTGATTATCTGCGCTGATTGCGATAATTACTTTGTTTGCTGCTAGCTTCGAAGTGCATAGGGACGCTGTAGGTTTACGAAGTTTACTCGGATGTGTCTGTGACGTTGCTTGCGGGTAACTCCACGTCCTCGCCAACAAAAGTTGATTTTTGGATAACGTCAGATTTCAAAAGTGCACTTGATGCTGATATAGGCTATGCTGGATCATGAAGTTTGGTGAGTTTGGGCCTGGTCGTGCAATACATCAAAAGAAACTTTCCCAAATTTTTCCTTTGTCAATGAGTCTCTGCTGAAATCCAATATAAGCCTACAACCACTTGAAACGATTGCAAACAGTGCGGGGTGTATCTTTTCCGTTTAAGTAGTTTACGGCATACGGCTCCTGCGTAAGATGTCCGCAACCGATACGCATCGCGATCTGACAAAGCTCTGTACAAAGCTCTTAGGTGATATGGCTGTATTAGTGAACATGATTTTGTGCGTGTGCACCTTCTTCGTAACAGTATAGCGCAGGGCAATCGACTTGAACTTTAAAGGCAGTGTCCGGGCAAGATGGGGGTTTTGAGATTTCTCTGCCATGTGAGACTGGCCCCCCTGAGACACAACATCGCGCAACTGCGAGCATAAAACGTTCGACCTAAAGCAAGAAAAACAATTGCAAAGTGGGGAAACTTACGCCTCGGGGCGGGGTCCTCCGAGCTGTTTGAATTCCTGCCAGACGGCAGAGTACGTATGCCGCCACAGTTAAAAACCGTGCGCTCTTTGCAACTCTGCGTCTTAGCCTGGCGGGGATCCTCAAATTTCGAAATGTAAGGGCTTGGAAAATGCATGTTCTCGCCGTTTTCGTGCTTTCTGATATGGATTTTCGGATTCAGCGTTGCGGATAACCCCAGATAAGTTGATTTTTTAAAAGTCGAGTTTCTGCCCGGACACTGCCTTTAACAAGTTTTTTCAACAGGGCAGAATTCACATTATATCTACCATAGGTGCGATAGTGTGAGACTTTTCTCATCCCCCTTTCACCCCTAAGCCGGGACCAAGGTGACCTCCTTCACCAAAAGCCGAGAAAAAAATAAACAGTGAGGTAAGGTTAAGCAAAGAAGACATTTGTACGCGAATTGTTTATGTATAGGAAAGGAAGAGTCTGTTGAAAGAGTGCCTGGGTGAAGGATGTGCTCAGTGATTTCTGGAGATTTTCGGATTTTTAACATAAAAAAATTCATAACTTTTGTAGATAAACATCTTTTACGGCAATATGGTCACCGTTAGAACCGCCTCGTCCTCAGCTTTCAGAAAATATATAGAATGTCTGAGATCCGTTCAAGAAAGTTCGCTGAAGGGTTTGCCTAATGATTTTTGGAGATATTCGAGTTTTTAACATAAAAAAATTCATAACTTCTTTAGGTAAACATCTTGTACACTGTAATAGTCACCATTGGAACCGTCTCGTCCTCCACTTTCAGAAAATATGTACTTTGCTTGGGATCCGTTAGAAAAAGTGCCGGGTGAAGAGTGGGTGAGACTTTTATAATGGGAGTGCTCAAGTACAGGCTTTTTTACCATTGTAAAAAGAGGTCTACTTAAGCACTTTCATTATAAAAGTCTCATCCACCCTTCACCCAGCACTTTTTCTAATGGACCCCAGGCAAAGTATATATTTTCTGAAAGCGGAGGACGAGGCGGTTCCAATGGTGACCATTAGCAGAATTTATGAATTTTTTTATGTTAAAAACTCGAAAATCTATAGAAACCACAAGGACACCCTTCACCCAGGCACTTTTTTTAATGGACCCTAGGCAAAGTTTATATTTTCTGAAAGCAGAGGACGAGGCGGTTCTAATGGTGACCATCACGCGTGCAAGATATTCATCTACAGAAGTTACAGATTTTTCTATCATAAAAACTCGTGAATATCCGGAAATCACTACCCCACTCTTCACCAGGCACTTTTTTAACAGACTCCAGGCAAACTATATGTTCTCTAAAAGTGGAGGACAGGATGGTTTTAAAAACGTATTCCTTAAAAACAGGCAGGGTGATGTGGAAAAGGGAAAAGGAAATGGAAAAAATACAAGGTGCTGGTCAGAATTATGACTGTGCGCTAAACCAACAGCACATCGGTTCACATCTCGTAAAAAACAACCAGTGATGGCAAGGAATTGTAAATGATAAAACTTTGAATAGGAAAAATGATGAGAGAACACCATGGCTCTCCCCATACGTGTGCAAAGGGGGAACATGGCCCCTCCAGGGTGAAGGGGGTCATAGGGGTCCCGCTTCTCCAAGGTGAAGGGGGTATGAGGGCCGCTGGGGGGGGGGGGAGCAGGAGGGGGGGGGGGAGAGCGGCCGGAGGTGCAGCTGTGGAGGTGCGTCGACCGGGGGGGGGGTGCAATGTTCGCCATCATTGCTTCTCATGTTCTCAACTCACATGCATCAAGTGAAATTGTAGCCAAACCGGATTAAAGTCGAATATTGGGTTTTACCCGCTGAAATTCGAAGAAGAAAAACTGGAATAAGTGAAACTAAGAAATCAACAATGTAAGCAAAATTACAAAACTATCGGCATTATTAAAATCAAATTTAGTGACATGTTGATTCTGATTATTATTATTATGATTGTCAAAACTTACTTGCAGGCTCATGAGAAGTACATCGGAAATTTGCCGCCTATTGTTCACTTCTAGAAAACGATGAAAAAGCCTGGAGAAAAATTTACGTGTGAAGCCTTTGTGTATACACGTCAATGAAGTTATAACTCACGCATTTGCTGTAATAAGTGAAATAATAAATGAACTTTGATGATCGGTGCGCAGTTGAATTGCATTCTTTTTGAGAGGTATAAATTTTCTAAGCAGATGGCGGAATCCGTGGAAAGTCATTGCATGATTCCTTGAAGCGTCATTGTTCCAACTTTTAATATTATTTCTAAACTCCGAAAGAGATCGTAACATTTGCGTAGAGAATCAGGTGCAACCAAGGGCATC